AACTTAACAACTTTACAGCAATAGGCACCTTAACAATTTTACAGCAATAAACAACTTAACAACTTTACAGCAATAAACAACTTAACAACTTTACAGCAATAAACAACTTAACAACTTTACAGCAATAAACAACTGTAGTCATCAATCTCAACTTTAACAACTTTAAACAACATAGCAACTTTTTAGCAACATACAACTCTCCTCTAATAACTTGACAACACAGTCTAATAATAACATCTCATCATACTTCACAACGTAAACATGTCCACACATATAGCAACCTTATCAACTTAATTTCAACTAATTTCAACAATATCATAGATCAACTCAACTTGTAAACAACTTCACAACTTAACTACAACATGCATCTCCAACAACATCATTAATAAATATTTAATCATATATTAGCAACACACAATATTTTCATCACCTAACATAACTCATACTAATCAACCTAAGTACCCAAAGGAGTTCCCAACTCACATACAACCAACAACTTTACAATCTAGCTTCCCTTACTTGAAGATTGGCTCAGGATAGCCAAGAAGCGGAATTCCCTTTCCGAAGCTCAACTCGGAACTTCAATCCACCCAAAGCAAACTTCTTAGTCCAGAGTCCTTCTCTCTTAAACTTCTCTCTAAAAACCTCCTTTTCTCCTCAACCACCAACTCCTATTTATAGAAGTTTCGGAGTGCCAGAACGGCTTGTTCCGAATCCGGAACGGCCCGTTCTGCACTCTTTCACCAAGTACAAAATTTACACGCAGAACGGCCCGTTCTGGGACTCATCCAGAACGCCCGTTCTCCATCCAAAACGGCTCATACTCCCTCCAGAACGACCCGTTTTGGGGTTTGGAACGGTTCGTTCTCCCTCCAGAACAGCTCGTTCTCAACTACGTTTTATAGGTTAATTCATTAGTTTGGAACGACCCGTTCCAGTTTGGAAACGGCCCGTTCTGGACTACTGAATCACCCATATTGAGCCTTCTAAAATAATTTACTACGTTACACACCTTAACTATAATTTTCTAAATAATTATTAGAAAATTCGATCATATTATCATTCATGACGATTCATGGCTAAAACCGAAAATCTTTTCTCACAATCGCATATAAAATAATTAATGATTTAATTGAAGCATAACTTAGAGTTGAATGTGGCATCTTCCTAAGGTTAGAACTTTCATTTACTTCACTACTGTTAATTAACTGTCTACATGAATAGTTCATTTATATCGAATCTATCTTGAATGCGATAAAGTTAAAGAGTGTTTATTGAATTGACTCAATGAACTCAATAATTCAAACCAAACATATGAATCTGATTGATTTTACTATTTTAATTAACTAGATGAACTCCATAATTCAAACCAAAGATGAATCTGATTGATCTTACTATTTTAATTAACTAGTTCATTTTATTTCATACTCAAACTAAACTAATTGTAATTGGTTCATCTCTTTATTTTTCTTCTTCCTCAATCAGAACCAGCTCAATCTATGTCTCAATCATTCATTAAATTTCTCAATCTGAGTCTTTAGTCCTTTGAACCATGGGCTCATTGTGTGATGTGTACTGATCGTAATAATGACGTTTTATTTTTCTGTATATTATAATCATTTATTTATTTTTAATACGTAAATTTAACAATTAAAAATGTTTTATATGAACAAGAGACATTTTCTTGTCCATCACATTAAAATTCACTTCCTTTGGGATAGATGGGTAGGGTAAAGCTACGTGGCATTGCACGTGTTTTTTCTGGGCAGCTACCCTAGAGTTCAAAAAGTCTAAATATGCACTGCACAATGAATATGCACCACAGTACATATTAATCATGGTCAATTTTATTTTTTTGAAAAGCAAGTACATGCATAATATAATATATCATACTACCACTTTTCATCAATGACTTTAAACACTTCTATTATCGATCATGGGCATGTTTGTATCTTCGTTAACTTCCGTTGAACTTAATTTGAAATGGTCAAATATAATGATTTAATGTCAATAAAGAGTTCTTTGGATAAAGTTTTTCAATAAATATTTTTAGGGGAACATATAATAACAAAGATTGAGATAATTTTTTTTAAAGATAAAACTAATTTATTCATAAGTTTTTTTTATATATAAATTAATAAGAGAAAATTTCTATAAATTGATTTGTGCATAAATTGATTTTAACTTATGAAAAAAATTATTTTTTTTATTTTTTTATTTTTTTCTTTTAAAAGTATTATAATGAACTTTATCCAAAATGATCCTAAGCTTTTGATAATGAGAATGATCAATTAGAAGTTCATCATTATGATTGAGTTGAAAGGTTTTAATAAGAATTTATGAGGAATGTGTTGGTTTAGCACTTGGAAACCATATATCTTTCAATATTTTTTTAGGTTTAATAATACATCATTTGATCCCCTAAATTTTTAGAAATTTTTAATTAGATCTTCTAATTTTTTTATATTATTATAATTTAGTATTTATGATTAAAAATTCATTTACAATTTGTGAAATTTTAGAAAATGTTCTTAATATTTGGATATTCGAACAAGTATATTAGATAATTATTTTGTGTCTTTATCTATATTTGTCAAGAATATTTTATGAAATTGCATGAATCGTAAATGCTTTCTAATTTCAAGGAATAAATTACAAAAATATATTAAAAAAATAATTTAATTATAAATCATTTTAGTTTAAAGAATTAATTAAAATTTTATAAAAAGTTGAAAGAATAAGTAATGTATTAAACCTATTTTCTATGACAAAGATGGATGCCTTTAGATGATTTGGTCCAAGCCACGAAAATACTTGGGATTTCCTAGAAACTTTAACTTGAACATTTTGTTGAAGTAGACATTGAATTTGGTGAAGCTTGTTGACACTTGTGCCATCAACATGGACTACAATTAGTTATCTCTCTTATAATAAGGTTCCCATTATTTCGTTGTCTACTTCAATATCCTTTGAGGTTGTCCATGATTTAAATAGTGATCAAATAACTTAAATTAAAACAAAAATGGTTATATATATATATAATACTTTTAACTAAAGTTGTTCATTTTAATTCAATGAATAGTTGGTAGAGTAATGATCTTGTTAAATTTAGGTATAGGTTTTTTTATGTTACAATTTTAAGGATAGTTTAAGAAAATATGAATTTAGGATAAGTTATATATATATATATTTTATCTATCAAATATAAGACTGTGTATGTCACTCTAATCCTTCCATTATTAGATTGATCCTAGTAGTTTAGTAAATTTTATGTTATTATTTATTATTTTCTTTGCCTTTTCTTTTTATGTTTCTCATGAAATAATTTTGAAGTTTCATATTATATATATATATATTATTTTATAAATAAAAAGAGACATGAATGTCTTTCTCACTATTCTTTAATAATATTATATCATTCTTTATTAAAATATTATTATCGCATTACTACTTTTATTTTCCATTGTTAATAATTTTAGAGAATTAAAGGCTTATTAAGTTTTTTTAACATAATAAATACTAAAAGAAAAGAAAAGAAAAAATCTCCATGAAAGCACATATTAAAAAGTGGATGGAGGAAATACTCTTCCACATCGACACACGGCATGAGCAATCACCACACATCTATTGACGTTTGGTATCACTAGACTAAATCATTTATAATTCATCAACAAAAAAATAAATAATAAGAAAATCATTAACTACATAGCTTCTGCCAAAAAAACCACCATATTTATTACATCTAACGAGTCAATACTTCAACTCATCCATGCATTAAATTGATGATCAATGGCTCTTCTGTTTTTCTTTTTTTTTTTCTTTTAATTATTGACTCATTGTGTGCAATCATTTTCAAATTAGAGGTTAACAATAATAAAAGAATAAATCGAGAGTTGTCCCGTTCATGCAAGAAAAAAAAAATGGGGAAGGAACATAGTCGGCAAAGAAATTCGAGTGTGAATTGGATGATTGGGGGCAAATGTTAAAAGAACATGCAACCAAAAAGGTTCTATCCAAGTGTAAGGTCTAGCCTCATGGACAATGATATGATACCATACTTTGTGATTGTGATGTGACATAAAAAAAAATATAATTCACGGCATGTGAATGAAGATAACATGGTCCAATTAAAAGACCAAAATTGGATATTTAATTAAAAAAAAAAAGTGTGGGTAGAGTCTAGTAATCTACTACGTGGAACCTGGTTAATGATATTAGGAATTAGTCACTTCTCAATCAATTATGTTTCATGATCTCCGTGAAAGCACACACAAAAAAAAATAATAAAAAAAATAGGATCGTAGAGAAAAAATTAGCTGGTGGCTTGAAATTATATCTTCAATTTAAGAATAAGTAATTCCAAACAAAATGCTCATTTTGGTAAATATTATTTGATGTGACAGAGCAGATAGCTTGTGGGTGTGATCCATGATGGACACTGCCTATGTTTAGAAAGAAAGAAAGAGTGAAAATAAATACGGAGAACAGAAATTAAAATAATTTTAAAGTTGTTTAAATTGATAGAATTAAGATGAAATGAAACTTTCTTTTGCTTGTTTTGGTTGGTTTAAAAGATAAAAGGAAAGAAATAAGAAAAATATAAAAATTCAATTTTACCCTCTAATTAATATTATTGTTTTCAAAGTTTAATAAATTCTATCGAGTAATTGTTTTTTTTTATATTAATAAATAAATGTAAAACACATTATATTTTACACAATGGTAGTTGGGAAGGGTACATATGGAATGAAAGTCTCAAGTAATAAACTTGCTTTATTTTTCGGCCCAATCGGGGGTGGGGGGCACTGTATCTTGTGGATCCCACAAAAAATTCAGTAATTTCCTTTCTTATATATGATCTCCTCAAAAACAAAGGAAATAATTCATCTTTTTCCCATTTCACTCCCTTTTGTTTCATTTCTTCCTAATTCATCCCATCCAAACAATCCATAAAAAATGTCTTGGTGTGTTTGAATTGGTGGTAAATTGAACTCATTATGTCAAAGCAAACCAACAATTTAATTATTTTAGCGTTCATATACTCATCACATTGAAGATAGTTCATTGGTCAGAACAGAAGTTGGAGTCAACAACACATACGGATTGATTTTCAGGGAATTTCAGAAATAGAAGATTAAAAGGAATAATCTAAATGAGGGTATCTTCGGAATGTGTTTGACATAATACCAAATGTAACATCAACAAAGGTTTGGCCGTATGAAGAAGGCTTTTGTTGCTTCTTGCATGTTTCTCTAGACTTTACTTCTCAGAAGTTGTATTTCTTGTGCCACAAACAATTGTTTCCTCCACAAAAATGATGACCACCAGAGGCACAACATGTGTGCTTGATGATAGCCACAGCATCAAGACAAAAAGGGGAAATACCAGGGGAGATCCAACACTATGTATGCATAGTTACAGATTATGACAAAAAATAATAGGACTACAAACAAGCATGCTCAAGCATATAGTAGCCTTGCCCATGTTGTCAAAAGAAGAACCATCTCCGCCGTTGTCTCTGCAGGAGTAACATGGAAGTTAAAAATATCACATCATCAATGTATCTAACACTAGGAGCAGGAGAGGCTGCTGAGAAAGTAAAACATGATATTAAGGACAGTAACTTCTTTCTTTTATGTTTCAAAGAAATACCGCAACTGATGAACTTCAAAAAATTTAGCCAGCTATGAAGTTTCAGTATCTGCTTGATAATCTTCTAATACAATGAAGATCTCCAGTTTTGAATCGTTGAACTTCCTTAGTTCAATCAGAAAATCCCAATTATGCAACTAAGCTTACATGGGTCTACTTTACCTTTTTCTAAAAATAATAGACTTCAAAATGGAAAAATAAAAACCTCTAAAGCTAATAAATTAGTATAATATGGGATGTTGAACAAAAACAGTTAGAAAACAACATACAATGCAACCCAATAAACGGAAAATAGAAGCAAATTAGTTAATTAGAGGTAATAGGTAATTCCAATTTGCCACATGCACACAACCCTCATTGACTTCAACTTTTGAATATGTGAAGACAATGTTGAATGTTGATAGAAATTTGAGTGTCTACCCTAGTCAACATGCATAACCAATGAATGTTTAAATCCAGATAACAGGGAGTGAGAAAAAGAGAGAGAGAGAGAGAGAGAAACCTTCTCCTGATTTTGCGGTTTTAATAAAATAGGATCAGGAAGAACTGTGTTGTCTATATCCTGAATGTATGGCTTCACCTTTGCCTCCAACATCTCATTCAACTGAAGGTGAAATCAAGCATCAGTCGCTTGTACAAAAGATTGATACCAATGAAATTTCAAAGCGCACAAGGAAGAAAAGATGTTTGACAAATTGAATATATATTAAAAGGCATGAAATAATTCTGAAAGCAGTTTAAGTACACAGAACTCAGTAAACCACATACAGCTTTAGGACTTTAGATCCTGAATTTTGAAGCTAGAACCAAAAATACCATCAACATTGTGAACTAAAAAAGTATAGGGTATGTTCTTGAGACAAAGTAAGACAACTGTGCATGCTATTTTAACATAATTTCATCACATGAAATGCCTGATTAGGACATGTGTCGGTTCTAATTAGTTGATCCTTTCGCATTGAACAAACAGGAGAAGGAAAGGCAAAATCACCAACCTTGTCTTGACGCCATTTAGTTTCCCACTGTGCATCCAAGATCTTATCAGAGATTTCTCTTTGGGCATTAAGAAGAATAGTCATTTCATAGAACTTTTCAGGATCTTTGAGATCCTCGTCACTCCAAGATGATGCCTTCAATGGAAGGTCCAGCTCCTGTCAATTCTCTGTAATTAGTTATTTCTCATTGGAAGGATATGCCTACACTACACTACTTTTCAATTATTTTTCTCAAATGGAGAAGGGAGTGACCAACCTAACAAGATATTGATGAGTACTTCCAAGCAAGTGAGCAGCATATGTTAAAAAACCGAAGTCTTGTGGAATGTCAAACTCCTATTAATGCAATCTATGCAGAAGGTCTGATTGATGTTATTTGATCGTACATCATGTTTGGTAATACTGTATTTATATTTATATTCTCCATCTCACCCATTATTTTGTCAGCTGCTTTAACGGCTAGGTTATTGTGATACTTTTTCCATTCCCAAAAACTTAAGCTATAACGTGAAGACGTGAATGAGTTTATACTACATCTCTAATATGCCCCCTCACGCAAGAAACCTTTGAACTTGATACATGGATAATGCACAAACCCACCTACCTTGTGCTAAAATTAAACTTTTTATTAGAAGAATGGAGGTAGCAAAGATCAAACTCTAGATCACTTAATTATAGAGGCTTTGATACCAACTTGAGACTAGGATTTGATTGTGATTTGCTTTAGAGAAAAATCTCATCCCAACGCATTTACATACACAAATTACAAAATAAGAACACCTAGATCTTTGGGATGGAGGTCAATTACATATATCATTTCTAATTTTCTATTCTATGGAAATCATGCTATTGAAAGAAAATTGTGCACATTATTTAAGCACAGACAAATCTGGACTATCATAAAAGCTAAAAAGAAATAACAAGCAAATGTGACGTGAAAATAGTTGTTACATACACCCCAATTTGACGGTCTTGGTGGAGGATCAAGCTTCATGACCTCTGTCTCCAGTGCCTTCTTAGCCTTATAGTAAGGGACATTTTTCACTATGACAGGATCATCCCTTGCACGGGCAGGATCAATAGATAGCAAGGCCTGTGATACCCGAACAATTCAAAATAAAACAAACATTGCAAAATTTAATGCATGTGAAACGATATATAAATTAAGATGCCATAGTTTCAACCACACAAATAACTCTATCAAGCATCCAAGTAATAAAAAACTACCATAATTATCACAATAATAGTAAAAGAATAAAGTAAACAATTGTCCATTTATTTTAGCAACTAGATGAATCCCCTGCATACCTACATTCTACACTGCTTGTGTCTTCAACAGCTAAGTATGAGCATAGGCATTGCCAAATAGCTACAAGAAACAATATTTAGTGTGCGGGATAAAAGACTTACATCCTGCAGATATTCCCACCCTGGTTTCCTCTTGGCCACCACATCTCTGAGTTGATCATACCGCATAGATTCCTAAAACCACTCACAAAAGAAAAATTGATATCTTTAGAAACATAGATTTGACCAACCGCTATAAAGCACAAATGTAATGGACGATGATGACTTAGGCTGCATGATGTCTGATTAAATTTGAAAAGGTTAATCAAATAAGAGGACAGAATAATCAATTCCATGTGTTATAATAAGAGAGCTAGGCCCTCCTTCACTTTCTTCAGTTCCATTTTAAATATTAAGCCCATTTTCTGCACCACTTCTCTCAGCAGTCTGAAATTCCAAATAGTACTGGCATACAGGTGACAGTACTTGGTCCAAACTCCAACGAATATCTTCCAAGTTCCAACAGATTATGATTGTTGGTTAGAGAAATACACAGGATTATTCAGTCAATCAGTCCCATGAGTCCTTCACCATTAAAACACACACACACACACAGATGAAACAGCATAGGTGCTGGGAAGACCAACTTCTTTGCTGGAAAAGGGGATGAAACCCACAAAAAGCTACAAGCTGACAGTTTCATATATTGAGATCAGTTATATCTGGTATTTTCATGAAATTCTACTAAAACCGGCCTCTGAACATTGAAAATAGAGGAAGAGTGACTTGATAGAAGCAGAAAATAGAGGAAATTAAATTTTCACTAGCGGATGTGCAGCAAAGAAGGAAAATCAAATCATTGAAAATCATTCTCATCCCTCTGGAATGATTGACTGGATGTAGTGAGGAACAGAAATATATTATATTTGTAGTTACCTTGTGAACCACATTGCTAACCAAAAGACAAGGGTAAACGAGCAAAAACACATTTATTTTTTTAATCTTGAGCCTTAACATTGTATTCTCACCTTGTATTAATCATTTCATCACAAATTAGAAGTAAAAAATTGTTCTGGGCTAGTATACAATTTCATAAATTATTTCTTTTACCAAGCAATCGTTTATCATACAATAATCTCACTCCTAATCTTTAGCATACATTTTCACACTCATTTTCATCACAACCAACATGTGTTATAATTGTTGCACTGCGCACAAAAACTAAGTGGCCATAGCTCCACAAGTGTTAATCCTTGATGTTTTTTGCATTCAAAGAACATTTTGCCGGTTCATACTCCAAGCAGTTCAATGGTACAATAGGTAATTTATGTTGAAAATAATTGATTTGAAAATGCAAATAAAGACAAGAAAAATCATATTGAAAACGGTTAAGAAAAAAATAAAAGATGAATAGTAGAACTGAAACTGAACTATAGAAAGGAATATGAAGTGACAACCTTGTACTGCCACCATATTTTCTGCTTCACGTCATCGTCATACGTAAACCCACCCATAATCTGAGGAAATGTAATCAACCAAAATGCAGCAATACTGGGATCTTTCATGCTGTGCACTATGTGCTGTAAAGGAAAAAAAAAATATAATTACAATGTCAAATAAGAGTGAGAAATCTGAATTCAAATAGATTCTATTTTATGTCCCCTTTAAACACAATTACATAGTGTTTGGCTCGGGGGAAATGGACGAGAGGGAAGATATTTTTATAAACTTTTGTTGTTTGGTTCAATTTTAAGAAAAGGAGAGGAACGAAGGGGAGCAAAACTCCTCATCTAATTTTTACTTTACTCCAATATAGGAGGGATTTGGAGGAGAGGAGAGGGGCTTTAAAACAATTGAGTATAATGTCTAAAATATCCTTACTTATGTTCTAAAACTCGAAACTATAAAGGAACAAAGCTAAATTAATTTTTAATATCCTTCTCTCCTTATGAACCAAACAAGAAAATAACTACCTCCCATCCTCTTAACCAAACAGAATGTCTAATAACAATCCCCCCTTTTTCGTCCCTTTCATTAAAATTCCTTCCTTCCCCTTTATTAAAATTTCTTCCTTCCACTCCTTTGAATCAAACAATTCCTTTGTTAGCGGATAAAAGTTTAACTAAAACGAAAATCCAGGAGACACATGAATTCTAATGTGCAACACAGAAGTAAAGAAATGAGAGTAAGAATGCCTAGGATCAAGGTTTGCTTCAGTTGCATATGAGAAGAAACTATATTAATAATATTATTTGTCAATAATAAATAATGACAATAGCAATTGCTTACTTGACAGAATCAGATTAGAATTTAGAAATAACACTGACCTCATATGGATAATCCATCTTTTTCAAGACATTAACAGCTTGCCATGGGGGCTCCATAATCTGCACAAAGAAAAGAACTCTTAAAAACAATAAAAACTAGATTTAGACCTGTCACCCTTGTGTTACAAAGTTGATCAATAAAATTATTTTAAATTCTATTTAGTTAAGGAAATTTAATTTTAATATATTATTATTGAAAAGTAAAATAAATAATCTAATAAATATTTAAAAAGGTGTTAGATTTTTGCAAGTTTGAAAATATTGCCATTGTTACTTGAGAAATCAACCAAGTGTTTGTGAAAACATTTGTTGAGGAAGCAAAAGTTTTATATTATAACAATTACTAGTATAATTATATAAAAAGAATTCATTATTTTGATTAATTAATAGTTATTTAGTAGTAGAATGTAACTGATGGATTCTTATTCATTTAAGAAACTGAAATAAAAATAAAAGTAGGAGTTATTGATGTGGGTATAAATTGGTTAAGAGAAAAAGAGAAATTGGGAATTGAACCCTCAGTGACACAACAATCAAAATACTAATGTGGCAACAAAGGATTAGCTTAATTGTCAACACCATATTTTGCATTTCAGGATTTATATATTATAAATAGATTATTAAAATTTTACAGCTAATATTAAAGGTCAAGATATGAATGTTAAAATCAACAATGGGAAAAAAATAAAGAACCATAGAATCAACAAAACTCACATCATCTGCTGATATCCTAACATGCACCAATCTGTGTTTGCATTCAGGACAGCCCATTACGCCCTGCATATGGTCAACAAATTCTTCAAAAAAAAAAAAATCGAAACACAATGAGACTTGCTATTAATCTCCAAGTAGTTTCTTTTTTTTCGGGGGGAGGGGAGAGAGAGGGGAAGGCCACAGTTTACTCATGAATTACTACAGATTCAGTGGGAATGGACCTATCCATGAAATGAAATGTTGGATGGAAAGTCAAGTTGTCTTGGAATTTGGCTCATACCGTTCCATCACATGTAGGACACTCCTTTGAAGGTAATGAATTCTGAAAATCCAAGGATGTTGGTATATGAACCAACTCAGCTCGGTTTTCGACAATGGCATCTGCTACAGATTCAGCGGTTGCTTTCTCTCCACTAAAAATAAATAAGTTGAAGAAAAACATATAAGATGTATATTAAGTTAGAGGAAAATCTCACAAAATGATAAATGAAGATAAACTAAAAGAAATTAAAATAGAGGAGAATTATCCATTAAAAAAATTACTGCACTATCTTACATGTCCATTTTTATATAAATCAGATGAACTTTTTTTACATGACAGCAGATATTTTCTTTGCATTTCCAAATATTGATATATTAATTCAGTGTAACTTTGAAGGTTATAGTCAACCTCCTTTTTAGAAAAACTCACCAGCATAGAATTAGTACGATTTAGAACTAATAAAATTAATTCCTTTTTCCATCTGAACTTTGTCTGTGTGTGACTATATATTACATAGAAGTTTTCTTGGAGGCTAGGACTGTGCATGACCACAAATGAAAAGATTCGGAATGTGGAGTTTTCTAATTGAACTAGAATTCCAACTTATATGAGATTGAAACCATTTTTGCTAGTTTAAATGTTTGTGGATTCATATTAAAAATTTCAACAAGAGCAGCAAGTGATCACAATTTACATGGTAATACCAACTACAACCTCTATATTCATCCACATGGAGAGTAACATACCTCTTCAAGGTGCAATTCTTCACTTGATAATGCACCCTCCCACTTCCTCGACACATTGTACACCGTAAGGCCCGCCATCCATTACAAGACTTACAATTCCTGTTCTTGAGACGCACATTTTGTTAGAGTTTAACAAAAGTCAACAAACAACACTACACTAATAAAATATCAAAGGCATCATGTATTCAAGCCACACAACCATCAAGGAATACAAAACAGCACCTTTGACATATCACCTTCCTCCCCAGCTCAAATGCAATGTCATAAGTACCAAGAGCAGCTATAGCCTACAACCAAGCCATGCAGCAACATTCATCATTATAAATAAAAGGATAAAAATGTACCAAGAACTAACAAGGTCAAATTTCCAGACAATACATTTTCCCCAAATATCAAAAGCAATAATCCAATTGATCAATTTGCAAGTTCAAACATAGATATAGTTTCTTCATTGTTATTTGTATTTTTTCTCCGGTTAGAATTGGAGTTTCACCTGGAAAATACACATAATCCTTTAATGGGTCTGTTTGGGTAAACTTCTCTGAAACCCCAAAAGTGAAATAAAGAAGAAAAATGAAACAAGTTTCTCCATAAGCTAAAATTAGTTTATATATTTTGTAAAAACTCTCTTCAATAAATTTCTCCAAAATCTTATTTTTAGCTCATGCATAGGCTAGAGAAGCTTATTTTGATTTTCCTTCCTATTTTTCTCATATAAATAGTGCTTTTGAAGAAGCTTGTCCAAATAGGCTAGATGTAAACCTTTATTTATATGAATTACTGAGTCATCTAGATTCCACTACTGATTATAGAACAAAACACACAATATCTAATAAATTATACCTAAGTTTTGTCATTATGAAAAAGGTGTTTTATACGATTCAACATTCCCTAATCATTACCAAATCATCATTGTTTTCACTTTTTTGTTTTATTTTAAAAAAAATTCCCGCAAACTAAAAAAGAAAAAAAAAAAAAAAAAAAAAAAACAAAAACAAAAAAATT